ATTTGCCTCCTTTCTTCCTGCTTTATGTCTCTCAATTCATTGCTGTGGCAATGTCAGTTGCCCAGAATCAAGGTGATAACAGAAGCAAAGTTTGCCTTTAGAGAAAGCTCAATTTCAGAGAAGAACTGCACAGAAATGACACAGTTTTTTTATTTTCTTTCACAGTCTTCTGCTGTTTTATATGGGGTAATTTCTGAGAAGGCTCCTCACTGATTTCCAGCACAGGTTACTATTGTACACACTGACACGAGGTGACCATGCACCTCAAGAGGCCTGGACAAAGGTTTTTATGTCTAAGCCGTGCTGACACCCATGTGCTACCCCAGTCTTCAGCTGGTYTAGAGGAAACAGTCTTTTCCTGAAAGAAGGGTCTGCCCATTTCTGCCCCAAAAATTTTTTTATCCTTACATTTCCTTTATATGGCTGAGGAAACACCTCTCAGCCTAAGACTCAGTTGAGATCAATGTGTTCATTCTCCTCATGTTTCATAAACCTTCTTCCCAACCCTGCACTTGCTTTTTCTATTTAGTGGGCAAACACTACATTTGCACTCACCAGACAGACTTGGTACACTAACAGAGTGTTAGAATTGACAGTGCTGTGTTACCATGAATAACAAGTAATYATAATACCATGCTTCATTACAATTGAAAGAATTTTAATTTTTTTAAAKAAGWTTTGAAGAATTCCTCCTATTTAATCCCATGTTTGCAAGAAGAGAGGAARGACCTATACCTCCTGCAGTTGTGGTTTAGCAAATTTGCCTCTGAAGCACATGTCTTTTGCCTGTGTCTGTCTGAAACTTATTTTTCCTGCTTTCATTTACACTGTTGCTTTGTCTGTGTTTGTTTTAAACAAATTTCTCTATTTCATGTGTGGACCTGTASTATCACCACTGGTCACTGGTTTGAAAGGAAGAAGATGTCTATCACCAGCAGGTCCTCAAGGTCACTTGGCACTCCTTGGAAACTTGAGGACAGCTGGCACATTACTCCACATAGCAGCAGCATGCTGAAATGGATTCTTCCATTCTCACTGATGCTTTCTCATTGTCACCTYAAATGCTTATTTTCCTCAGATATTTCAGAATTCAATAGGGCATGGAGAAGAGCTATCCACTTATGCTGGAGCACTTAGACCAATGAAAGCATCTGTATGGGTGAATATTCATCAACTAAATATTAATGGGWAAGTTAACATCCAGCTGGCTGAGCAGCAAAAATATTTATGCTGCTCGCCGAATGCATTATTCAATTCACTCTCCTAGTCAGTGTGTAAACACACCACGAGTCAACACCGCCATAGGCACACAGAAAGGAGCAGACTGGCCTCCTCCATAACCTTGCTTTTTGTACACAGTCTGCTGGTTTGCTTTTTTTGGACTTGGGCTGTTATTCTGAAGGTTGATTAGATTTGTTTTTGTTCTGATTTCACACTGTCTCTGTGCCAGATTCCTGACTGTTCCTTTCAGTAATRTAGATATAATAATGGATCTCATTATTATATCTCATCTCTCATCTCCTGGAATTTTGCTGGGGTTTCATAAAGGACAAGAATTGGGGTTTTTTTTCAGTTGTTTTTCTGTACTGCTAAGTAGAGTTTCTGCTTCTGCTGTGACAAGCAGAATCAGACACTCMGCGCATAAAAAACTCCAAGACACTGTCTGACTGTGCTTCTGAATTATTTTCTTTGCTTTAGGAAAGCAGAAAGAAGTGTCATAATTTCCAATTTGGATCTATGTGCAACAACAAGAGATTACCATTTCCTTGCCAAAGAGAATCCTTTCATCTGGCATCAAAGAAATAAAACCTATCACAGACAGATGAAGTATTAGCTCCTTTATCTCCCTGTAATATATGTTAGAGTATTAAGGAAACTATTGTGATTTCCATGGTGATCCTCACCAAAAGGTGTTTCTGACATGGCTCCAGCCAGCATTTTGGTCTCAGTGGCAATATTTTTAGACCAAATAAATACCATATTCCACTGTAATTAGTTGTCTGAGTAATAGCTTCACACTGCACACTATTGGGAAGGAAAAATAATCCATAAAATGGTCTGTTAAGTGCTGCCCAACTCACTGCTCTGCATTTTACACATTGTTATTTTTCAGCTATGGGCAGCTTATTTATGGTACGGGGACTCTCTGGRTTTTCCTATTTACTGATGAGAATCTAACAGGAAGAATTATTGCCAGCAAATATCAGGGATGGTTTCTAGCATTTAGTTCACGTATAACTCTTGTGACTGATATTGAGACATCTGAAATGAGTAGTCTTGGGCTTCTTGAGAAGTCCCTTCTGTGACAGTATTCATAGTGTGGAGCTGAGTTCTGTCAGCCATCCTGATAAGCACATAGGGAAGGCTCTTCAGGCCAGGGGATGCAGGGCATGTGAGCAGCCATYAGAGATGCTCTGTGCAATCATTGGGCAGCAGGAGGTTTGAATTCAGCAGATTCTTGGGGGTAGCCAGAAAGCTGCGACATGCTATGTCCAAAAATGTTCATAAAATTCAGTTGGTGTATTCGGAATTTCAGTGGTATTTTTGTGCACAGCTCCAAATGTCACATCTTGCATGCTGTGACGTGATATGAAAAATGCAATGTTGATGTTGGGAGGCAGGTGCAGTKCAGTGCTAGGAGGGGATGGTGGGGTCTCAGTCCCCTCTTAAGGCACCCACGGTGGCCACAACACTCAGAGTGGAGTGGGACCACAGCCYCCTCACACCAGGCAAAGCCCCACACAAAATCAGCTCCAATGGGCCCGGCATTTCTGAACTGTCAGGTTTAAACTYAGTCCTGACAGCACCAGGAGGATTACACACAGACACAGGCAAGCAAATACAGGCTTTCCAAACCCAAACAGGATTGCCYTGAAGTTGTGTATTTAATTATGTATCTAAGCACTCATATAAATGGCCTGTTTTCCAAAAATGCAAGGGCTGCCTCATGACTAAAGATGCAGAGGCTTGGCTGATTGCATTTGGGACATAGGGTGTTGTGGGATTTTCCTCAATAAAGCACAGTGCTGAAATGCCACAAGATTTTACGGAAATATTTTTAATCAGTTTTATACCAATATGCTATGGTTTTCTATATTCTCCAGAAGTACAACAACTCTTCATGATTTTTATTTTTGGATCTTAATGGGAAGAGTTCTTTATTCATCCAAGGAAGCCTTCATTCTGCCTATCCTAATCTTAATTCAAAAAAATACTCTGGCTGTCACTTACATTGGAGAAGCTTCTTATCCTGTCACAGTCTCTTCTTTGCACATGAAAAGAGAAATATTGCTTATTTGCTACAGCTGCCAAGAAACRCGTTTTGAATTAAACAAGGCAATGTGACAGGCTGAGAGCAATCACATAAAAAATATAAAAAAGAAGAAGAAAAAGAAGAAAAAGAAAGCATGCATACTGGAAAAATACATCACATTTTCATACTGGCCTAAAAAGAYATGAGTAAGCTGAACCATAGCTTGAAATTATGAAACATTCCACATTAAGRTGGAATAAACTACATAGTATTCTGTTACCTAAAAAAAAAATTAGTATACTTTGCTACTGGCAGAAGCTAATGAATGCTGAAATATCACAGCAGAACATCAAACTGAACAGTTTTCACAAAGGAAGTGCTGAACCTGTGGAGCTCAGTGTTACCGGATATCCATAGGTCAAAAGTTTAGCAAGTCTCAAAACCAAGTCAGGTAATGATGAAAACCATGTCTGAAAGGAATCCTCTATTTAGGTTTAGGGGATACTTTGCCCAAAGGRAAAAGCTGTAGTGGAATATACTTTGTGTCCTGAAATATTAGTGTTTATTTTCTTTGTAAAGCTTTTGTTGCAGGATTTGGCTGTGGTTTTTTGCTATTTCATGGCTACTTCAAAGTATTCCATATATTTGTTCAGTTTTTTTTTGTGTGTGTTTTTCTTATACCAGTGGATGCATCTTGTATATTGGACTTCCCARGCTTTGCCTCATTCCTATAAAGAGATGAACTTAAAATATTCATTACTTTTGGAAATCAACAATGATGGCCAGTAATTTCAATGAAGGGTGGGCATTTACTCCCTTCCCGATTATCTGCAGTGTTTTCAGCTGGAATACTAATGGCTGGCTGAGTGACAAGCTGGTGGTGATTCAAAACCAGGACACAACARTGTCTGAGATTTAAAAGGCACGGCAATGCCTGTCTCCAGCAGCAGGTGGCAATGCAAAATGCTTCTTGCTTGCTGTTAGGAAAAAAAGCAGCAACATTCCAGAAAATACTCTTCARGCCTCCTGGAGTGAAGTTATACAGCTTCTGTGTTACAGATTGTGTTTGCTTGTTCATCGCAATTGCACTAACTTTCCTAAAAGTCAGCATGCCCTAAAATTACACTGCTTTCCATAAGAAATTATAGGATRCCAAGAAACAGAAAGTGCCCTTGACAAATTCTGTCACAGAACAATCAGGCATTAGAGACAGTGATAGCTGTGTGCAGCTGACAGCTCAGGCTCTTTGAACAAAATGGACAGAAAGTTCAAGATTCTGTTTGGAGATGGCTCATACTCCCTCTGATCTTGGTAGCAGTTTCAGAGCTGGGGAGAACCCACCAAAAATCAGTGTTGTCACCCAGGCCACCCCAGCCCCCAGCTCATCYGTGCTGGAGCAGAGCTGCCTGATGAGCACACACGGGAAGTCCTTTCACACCCTTTCTCTTTTACAGCAGAGCAATTCAACCCCATTTTCTTTAATTTATTTCAACACTGCCCTAATCAATGCCTGTACCAGCATGAGCTAGGAGGCAGGTAGCAAACTGTGGTGTTTCAAGTACATGTCTGCACACGAAAAAAAATAGCTTTTGTTTTCTGTTATCTRCGATATTGCAAAGAGAGMMACAGCAGTGACAACTGTGMTGGAGACTGCCTTGGTTTTATTTGRTCCTGTGGTAAATCTAGCACAGAATTACTTTATCTCCTTGACTCCAGAAAACATTTGTATTCATATGAAAGTATTAAATCTCTCTTCTTGCATGCTGTTACAGTTGTAATTTAATTGCAGAGAATGAGCTGTTACAGCTCATGTACAAGTTCATTGAGGTGAACTGTGTGCAGCATTCTCAGTGCAGTGCCCCACCAAGTAAAGGTAAAACATGTTGCTCAGGCAACAGCAAGAGACACAGGGGAAAAAATATTCAGGGCAGATAAGAGGTAATAATCATCAAATGAAATATTGTAAATCTGCAGGGAAAGAAAAGTCATAATCAGCTCTCAGATTTTAATCATAGAAAAGAGACGAAATTCAGCCAAGAAAATACAATTTTTCATTGACAGTCCTAAGAATATAAGACAAAGTCATGGTTAACTAAATCAAGGCATGATTCAACAACTATTACAGTTTACTGATGCCAAATGGAGATTGAGGCCAACATGTTTTGTCTGTTTTTGGAGATCAACCAACTCTTTGAAATGAAACTGCTGCATAAACGTTGGACAGCAGTGTTATATTTTGCTAAGAACTTATACTTTAATTTTAACTTCTTTACTATCCTGCTCCATAGTGTCATCTTGAAGAATGGAAGAGATTGGTACACACCTTTGGCCTAATTATCAGATGTCCCAATACTTTGATGTGGTAGCTTTAAACCCATCCTTTTACCTGCATGAAGACAGATGATGCTCGAATACACTGGAAACAGATTTTTTTTTACCAAAAGCTATGAGCTAATCTGGAAAATTCCCACTTTCCAGGAAGCTTTGGGAGAGCAGACAAGTAAGGAAATGGCAGTAAYGCACCAAAAATCCCTGTGTTCAACTCATAAGATCTGCAGAAAAGTCACTTTCACTGCCACAGGAAGGACAGTTTGGGGCGTCTGCAGCAAGAAAATCTGGATTACATGATTGCTGCAAATGACATGTCGTATCAGCAAAGACTCTTCAACTATACACTGAGTTTCAGGTGTCATTTTCAGCGATCCAGGGACAATGTGAGTCCCATTATCACACAGGGAAGCGATGTTCTGTGTGAGGCATGAGCATCTCTGCTCACTCAGCAGTTTAAACACTCATTGCTGCCACTCACTGCCCAGCAGATCTCTCAGGCAGGAATGATTTCTCGTCTGAGTAGCTCATTCGTGCTCTTATATTACTGAACATTGACCATGAGGCTTCAGTACTAGATATGGCAACTGTCCTTAAAGTGGGTATTTTTCACAATCCAACTAATAAGCAATGAARTTACTCTTTTATGAGAGCTTCCAAATCCCAAAAGTACCAATGCAGTGCTCGTGCAAGGGCCATAGATATATCTTTATAGATGTCTATTTATTTATCAGTTCTGTTTGTTTTAGCCCATTTATAAACAATACTTCATTATAATGCCATAGTTTATGGCAATTTACTGTATAAAAAATTTTGATTAATAAAATAGGATTAATAAATAGGTGTGAATCTGAGACTTCTGAGATTCAGAGTCACTTTTCTAGAAATTTCTGTACAAGCAGAAAGCAAAGGCTGCCTCTGTCCAGTCACCGTGCCCTCAGTAAAATAGACTTGCTTYTGCACAGTGTGTTTTTGTTACTCTGTGTGATAGCTGAATTTATGAATTTCTTTCTGAAGTGCCATCCTGGAGGTGTCTTTGCCATAGTATCCCTTTTCAATGTCAAGTGGAATTCCTCACTTCTTTTGAAGCAGGTAACCAGTATGTTTACATGCTTCAATCACCTGCCACCATCCCAGGCTCTTCCAGGCAGAGCACAAGCAGGCAGCACAAGGCTCATCAGTGCAGCAGCCAATGGGCAGGGCCAATTCTAGAAKATACTTGGAAGTCTAAAGAATCCAGATGCTTACCTACATCTGTGTATCTTTAGAGATTCTTCATCTCACAAGATTTGTTAGATCTTCCCTGCTTGGTTACTGGACATACCTGAGCTGTTGCTTCCAGCCAGCATGGTTGGGCTGACAGAGGATCTCCCCAGCCTGCTGGACACCACAGGGGGGCCTGGCGTTCCATCCCATTCCTGAGCTTTCCCTGGCTCCCTGCTCCCGTGATGGCCTCTCTCTTTGCTTTCCAGCTTTGGTAGTGGTTCAGTGCTGTGACTTCTGATCTTCAGCTCATCTAGTGGTTCTGCAAAATACACAAGTGTACATTTCGTTATAGAGTGACAGCTAATCATCCACGTCATGCAATAATATTTTGCAAAATACTTCACACACAGCAATCATAAATCCTTTAAGGGCAATTTAAAGCATGGTTTTACCATCTGGGCCAAACCCCTCTAGTTTATGCAAGTTTCAATACAGGTTTTAATTATTAAAACCACACACTATGCAGCAGATGGATGAAATGTAACTTTTCTGTTACAACTTTTATATGCCAGGAAAATAATTTTGAAARTGGTTTCCTACCAAATTGTGGTTTATTAACAATTTATAGAAATACTTGAAATCTTTTCAGCTGTCATTTCATTGGGAACAAGTTCTCCTTCAGGCACTTTCAAAGGAAGCTCTCTCCTAAGGCAATATTGTGCAAGCAACATATCTGTACTTCTCACCAGCACACCATCCACAAAAAGCAATAAATCCAATAAAAGCACACCATCCACAAAACAAAAGAGCACAAATCCATTTTGGGTGTGTCCAGAACCATAACCTAGGGAATGAAATTTCACGTGATTGGAAAATCCTTGGAGTCAGAAAATTACTTTCTGCTTGCAACTCCRTGAGTCAATGTAAAGAGGAGCAATTCAAAACACAGTTGAATGATTTTTTCAAGTGAAGCAGTGATGTCTGCTTTCTTCATGGCTGGTGATTTTTTGTTCTTTTCTCAAGACCCTAATTTCTTTTCTTGCAGATTGAGCATRGAGAAAGAATTCATTCCTGCTCTTTTCCATCTGTAGCTATGAAAAATTCACATGAAAAACTAGATACAGAAGAAACATCAGATTGGTCTTTAGTTGTGTGAGCTAATTATTGTGCTAGTCAGTTATTCAAAGCTGCTGTTTACCTTATTTTGAAAAAAAAATCAGTTCTCAGTTTGGAGTTTTATATCATATATTCAAACCCAAAGACATCCTTACATGATACTCTCAGTTCTAATCACACAGGTTTATTAATAACCCCTGATGTACCTTAAATTCTGTGTACAGTCTTGGAATCCACTTTGATAGAGATAACAATCTTCCCTTGAGCTCTATCTCAAAAACTTTTAGTAGCTTCAAGAGACTTCAGAAGATTTGAGGGAGCCAAGAAAAGAGAAAACGCCCGGAGCCATTCAGAGGCAGGAGATGCCAGCAGCTCCCCAAGGGACCCACGCTGAATGGGGCTGAGCAGGACTAGCAGTCTGAGCAGCCACTGCCTCCCCCAGGTATGTGCATGGCCAGGAGCTGGGACTGTGTGACAGGGGTCACCACTCAGATTATACAATCCCAGAAAAAGAACTCCATTTGAACCACCCTGTGCCTCAATACCCCACACACTGTTACCCRCGGTACTGCAAACAATGGAAGATGTCAGACATCTGTGGTTGGTAGAGGCCCTACCTATGATAACACTGACAAAATCTCATGTTTTGAGCTCTTTGACATTCCAGTCTGCAGACAAACTTCATGAGTAGCAACACAGTCAGCCCGGGATTTCCTTAATTAAACATCATCTAGGAAATAYGTAAAAACATCTAACTGGATATGCAGTGCAGGATGTAATCCTTAGTGTATTTTWTCTATTACTATCAGTTACTAGTAAAATTTAATGTTAAAGATATCTTGCCACAACCTTCCAGTAGTAACGCACCATGAGAAAATGATCAAACAGCCTTGGGAGGGGAGTCATAAATAGGATTCGGTGACATTTTATGTGACAAAGACCTTCAAAACTCAAACCTCTTCCATGAACTTCTAGGTCACTTACCTACTTTAATGTATGCAAAAAGACACGGAATGAAAATCCAAAGTGTTTGTTTTCCCTAGCTGGTAACCCCAGCAGGGTACAAGGTTGAATAACAGTCTGTAYCAATATAACATGACATCTGCCTTTCAGGGACCTTGGCTACAAGATGTCTGTGACACAGATCTGTCTGTGAAGGCACAGAGAGATCAGCTAATGCAAAGAGCTGTGTGAAGAGAGGRAGAGCCCAAATTATTGCCAGGACTTCAACTGTTTCTGTTAACAGCATTGAGCTATCAAAAATACTGGGTATATCTTTTTATATAACAGATGCATGCAATTGTATGTGATTGTTTTCTTCACATCAATGACATTCACTTCTTTAAGATACTATTTATCTGGGAAAAGGAAAGATAGTAAAGTTTCAAAATTCCTTGGAAATGCACACAATCCTCTTTCCTACCGGTACAGCATGGTGTCTASACTGCAGTTTATTCTTTCCAGAAAGATTAACAGAAAGATGAAAGACTTGGATATGTTTTTTAAAAAATCAGAATTGGGCCCTGCAAGTGCCCTACTAAATTAATGCATCATTCAATGGAGTTAATTTACTATGTCATCCAGCTGCTCATGGAAATGCTGTGATTACCTTAGTGAAAACCTTCTCTGTGTGCTCCTCATTGACACTACTTGAACACCACCCCTTGAAATTTCACACACATGCAGTCAGCCCTTGTCACWGTGGAAATGCTCTTGGTGAGTGTGGAGCTAAGGATTTATCTACTTCAGTTTACTTAACAGAGAAGCATTTGCACTTGTTRCCTGATAAAAATGCTTTGTGCATTCTTAGTTTTATTGTCAGCTGAATCAAAGCACAGCAGTTCACTGCAACCAGCTGGAAACTGTGGAAATACTCAGACTAAATAAAGATTTGGTTTATAGTCTAGTTCTTTATAAGGTGTAGAAAATCAGTTTTCAGCTGGCTGTCTAGACTTTGTAAATTTACATTCCACTATCCTTTCTTGGGGATTTTCAGTTCACAGTTTATCTGAAAAGTAATATATCCTAAAAATGAAAAGCAGATTGAATCAGATTATAACATCGTGTAACCCATCACAGAGCCTGAATCATTATTATTTGGTGATCACTATCAGTAACATTGATACACAGACAGAAAACAACATGTCAGTGTTTTATGAAGCTTTCTGTAATATTAGTTTTCAGCTCACTTGTGAATACAAAAAAAAATTAAAAAGAAAAAAGCTGCTTCACTTTTACTCAAATATTTTGGGGAAGATTTTAGAATAATTTTAGCTTCTTTAATAAATGTCAATGGGAATCATACTCAGTTTACAAAAAAAAAAATTAAAAAATCACTCTGCTGCTTCTYGGTCAACTGAAAGAGCACCTCAGTTCCATTGTGCCCCAGAAGCTCCAGAAATGCAGAATGCTCCTCTACAAGGTCTCAACCCCTCACTGGCACATTTGTTGACTGTCCCAGCCACTAGGTTGGTTTCATTTTCTCAACTACTCCCTGCTGCAAATGTGGCAAGCTCAGTGGCACAAATGATTGTGTCTCAGTAGAGCACATTTCCTCTCTGTGTTTTCTGTCCTGCAGCCTGGCACAAGGCATTGGCAGAGAGCAGAACACGCCGGTAGCTGCTGGCTGTGGTTACCTGTGGGGTGGGGTTCTTATCATCCACTGAAGAGCAAACCAGGATATTTTACACAGAGTAACCCTTTATAATAGCTACAGCAGGGTTTAAACGGCCACTKTATCCCTATTGATCCCATACTGAAAACAGGAACTCTAACCAGTCAGATGTATCTATGTACACAGACACACAGCTGAAAGGCAACACAAGCTGCTGCACAGCTTTTTGGTTTTTATTTGGGAAGTGCAGCAACATAGGTTGGATCTAGGTTATCTTGTCCTGTTAAAAAACTTAATTTGGAGTTAGGAAATATCAAAGGTCRGTATTATGCTGGGATTTCACTGAATCACATGGTGGCCACCAGAAAATCTTTTCACAGTCAAGTGCTACTTTTTGAAAAGCTGAAATTATTATGTAAAGCATCTTTATTGTTCAATACATCTCCCACCAAAATGGTACATAAAAATGTAAATTTCAAGAAATAATTCACTGCTTTAAATATTTATGGACACAGTTGGTTAAACTGCCATAAAGGCACTCAAATRTTTCAAGTACTTCCAGCTGTCATTGTATTTCAGTATTTAAACATATGCATTTTTCTTATTTATTTCACCTGAGTCYCAGGCTTTTCCATTTAAAGTATAAGATGGTTAAAATCTCTCATAAAGTGCATATTTTACAAATAATTGGCATGTGCAATCTCCCCTCTAAGAAAGGTCCCCTAATAGCTGTGCACCAGGCAAGGCTGGCACGTGAGCTGTGATACCAGAAAACCTGGAAATGCTGAAGGAAGTGAGAAACAAACTGAGTCAGTTGTAACTTGGACCAAAGAAAACTGAAATTACAGCTACAGAAAACATCTTACCTAAAAAGCTTTCATTCAAATGAGTAGAACTCTGTGGCCAGTCTGCCACTCTGCTCTTAAGCACTAATTTCATGTCCAGGTGGCTTCTTAGTGCATTGCTAAGTGATAAATGGCAGAACCTATATTACTGCTTGGGKTTTTGGGGGATGAAAGAAAAGAAATTGTCTTAAGGAACTTGAAATGGTGATTGCTTTTTGCCATATCTCTCAGCTGTGAGTTGAAATGTATAAACTAATCCACACGTTATTAATTTATTCCTTTTTTTTTCTATGTGTCTGTTATAAACATAAATCAATAATATATTACTGTAAAATTCAGCAAACACATACAGGTGCAAAGCAAAGTAAGTCATTTGGGATGGGGTTTAGATRTGAGCTAGAACTCCTCATCTCCTCCAGCCTTGACATGTCAGACCTCACCTCATCTGGCCCTGGCTGAAGAGCAGGAGCACAGAGCACCCAAGGGCACCCCTGGAGGGATGCAGAAGCAGGGCTAGACTGCAGCCAGAATGTGTGTGAGATGATCAGAGCTACCTGAGACATGCCCCAGGCACAGCTCCACCAGTGCCCCTTCTGCCACTGCCCTTCTGACCACTTCTACAGGCACTGGSTGTGGAGCAACACTRASCSTCTCAGAGAATCCCAGAGTTTCTYCTTTCTGCACCCCAGGGCTTTGAATTGACCTCTATTACACATTTAAGAATTAGAGCTGTGTTTTACTGGA